TAAGGAACTCCTTGCTATAGTAGATTCTTTCCAAGAGTGGCGCCACTTTCTCGAAGGAACTGCACATCCAGTGACCGTATATACAGATCACAAGAATTTGGAGTATTTTATGTCGGCTCGGGTTTTGAATCGGCATCAAGCTCGGTGGAGTATGTCGCTATCCAGGTTCGACTTTGTTATTACTTATCGGCCTGGGAAGCAACAAGGGTTGTCCGATGCATTATCAAGGAGATCATATCTCGCGCCAAAGGCTGGAGATGCAGCATTTGATCAACAGTGCACGACATTGTTGAAGCTAGAGAAATTTCGGCTCAACGCAGCTATTATACCAATTGATGCTGACTTCCTCGACCAGGTACGAGCCGCAACCATTGAAGATTCTCTAGCCCTTGATATCAAGCAACATGCTAGTGATGATAAATTCAAGATGGAAGGAGATCTAGTATATTTCGAAGAGCGGTTGTATATCCCAAAAGAGCCAGCACGACTCCGAGTTCTTCAATCTCGTCATGACTTCCCAGCTGCGGGACATTTTGGATTCAATAAGACCTTGGAACTTATTTCCCGCGATTTCTGGTGGCCTCAAATGTGGAAGGATGTGAAAGATTTTGTTGTATCTTGTGACATTTGTTCAAGATCCAAAAACCCTCGACATCGGCCTTATGGACTTCTACAGCCATTGCCTATTCCGTGCCGACCATGGTCTTCGGTTTCCATGGACTTTATTACGGATCTACCACCATCGAATTCATTTGACAGCATTTTTGTTGTCGTAGACCGGCTTACAAAGATGGCACATTTTGTCCCTTGCAAGAAGACATCGTCAAGCGAAGATACAGCAAGACTCTTTCTTGATAATGTGTATTGATATCATGGTCTATCAGATGATATCGTATCGGATCGAGGAACCCAGTTTGTGTCAAAGTTTTGGAAATCTCTTTTTGAGATATTGAAGGTGGATATCAAGCTTTCTTCGGCATTTCATCCTCAAACGGACGGCCAAACAGAACAGGTGAATCAAGTTTTAGAGCAATATTTACGTTACACCATCAACTATCAACAAGATGATTGGGTCGCATATCTACCGCTAGCTGAGTTTGCATATAACAACACCCTTCATGCGTCAACTCAACAAACGCCATTCTTTTCCAATTATGGATACCATCCGAAGCTTGACTTATGGAGTTCGTCAACGATTAACAATCCGGCAGCTGAAGGATTGGTGAAGGAGCTTTCGCAGCTTCAAACTACATTGAAGCTTCAATTGCAAACTGCCCAAGAATCTTACAAGGCGTCCGCGGACAAATTTCGGAATCAGGCAGCTAAATTCACGATTGGAGACAAAGTTTGGCTGCTTCGACGAAATATTAAGACCAAGCGGCCATGTGACAAATTAGACTATCGGAGATTGGGACCATTTGTTATCCAAAAGCAGATCAATCCTGTAGCGTATCGTCTGGAGTTACCAGCTACTATGAAGGTACATCCTGTCTTTCATGTTTCTTTGTTGGAGCCTTATCGAGAATCGTCTTTTCCTGGAAGAGTACAATGTCCACCACCTAGCATAGAAATAGAGAACCACGAAGAATACGAGGTGGAAAAGGTCTTGGATTCACGGCAAAGACGGGGTAAATTAGAATACTTTGTGCATTGGAGCGGTTACGATATTAATGAACGAACATGGGAGCCGGCCGAAAATCTTGCGAATGCACCACAAAAGGTACAAGAGTTTCATCGACGATATCCTGAGAAACCCAAGCCGGTTCGACGATAGCTTCTTACTGAAGCTTGCTCATCTAGAAAACAGAAAAGAGGAGAGAGCACCACCAAAATCCATAGTTGATGTAGTCATTCTCTCCAAGATAGCGTAGAACTTTGTTAGTAGCCCAAGTTTGTTCTTATTATTTTAGCCTTTGAATATGGATAGCCAAGATACTACACTTGTCATGTCATCTCAAGCAACTAGCTCACGAAGACGACCGCGAGATGAAGAACCGCCTGCACCACGACGACGTCGAAGGATTCCGAGCAACAGATCGCTGGTGATTGTATTTGAGGTCGAGCCTGCCTACAATGGTCAGCCAGAAGGAGTGTTTGCAGGACAATTTCACAATGAAGACACGGAGGTTCATGCTTGGTTAGAAGTTGAAGGCGTGGGCCACTACCATTGGCTTCAAGGACCATTGAATCACTTGCCTCGTGAACAACAATTGGAGTTCATAGCAGAGGTTATGTCACAGATCTTCATTTTCTTGCATTGGTATTGACTGACGATAACATTGCTTCTCGGAAACCTCGAAGCTAAAGGAGGAGGTGATGTTAGGGACATAGTCCTTAGACCTTTCTAGAGACAAGTTTGTAGAACCTTCTAGAAAGAAGTCTCTAGAAACTTCCAGAAGATTCCTTGAATATTCTCTTAGAATATTCTTTAAAGATTCCCTAAAGATTCTTTGAAGATTCCCTAAAGATTCCCTTAGAAGGCTCTAGAAGATTCTTAGAATATTCTAGTAGATTCTAGGAAGTTACTTGAGAAGCTTCCTAGCTCTTGGGTAGTTGCTCGAGAAGCTTCATAGTTCTTGGGAAGCTTCTTGATGCGCTTCTTTGGAACCATAGGCCAGTAGTATATATAGGAGTCGAGGCTGAAGAGTTCTTCAGTCTCGACAACACATCTTTTGGAGTTCTAGCTCACCTTTCTGGTGTTGTTCTTGTACTCATCTATTTAATCTAGTTCTACCACTTCTTCTTGAACTTCTTGTTAGATTTCAAGTCTGTATTTTGTGTCCGTGACATCTAAAAAGCTTCTAAAAAGCTTTTCTATAAGATATTATGAAATTAATCTATTTTTACTTACTTCTACTTATTCATATTATTTAAGTAATAATTATAGTAGATATCTATCTATGAAACTTGGTTAAAAAAATTGTGCTTGTAAGATATAAAAAAATTATAAATAATGCTCTTTGATCTATATCCTTTCATTTTTTTTTTTTAAGTCAACTAAATCTCTATGTCATCGAGTAAGTTTTTTCACTTTCTACAAAAAACCTTCCATTAATTCTTATAAATTAGAAAAAATTGGATTTTTTATTTTTATAAGTACCAATTATTTTATTCAAATTTTTTATAATATAATATTTGATTATCATTTTATAAAAAATATGCTTTAAATACAAAAATTAGATGAATAGAAAAAAACAAAAGACAAATAGAAATGAATTCACACAACTTAGATAAGACTTAATACTTTCTAATAGTACTTTTGAATATTTATAAAAATTCTAAAATAATTTTAAAAAGTAAAATATATATATATATATATATATATATATTTGAATGTGAATGGTATTGTACTATTAAGACATCCAAAAATAATTCAAGTCAAAACTCACAAAACTAACATAGATATTGTAATTTTGATTAAAAAAAATATCCAATTTAAATAAAAAAATTAACTTTGCAAACTTTATTAGCATCCCTAAGCTTATCAAAATTCCTAGACATATTTGATTCCCTAGAGGTTGACAATTAAAGTCTTAATCTACATCCTAAAAGTATCTCCAGTCTTACCACTTTACTATTAGGTCTTGCTATTATTGCCAAGTAGTTGTGAATAAATTATGAGTTGTCGCTTGTGAGCAAAAGCATAGAGTTTCTCTTCTTAAAAAAATATGTGATTTATTCTCTTTTTTTTGTTGTTCCTTCACAACTATTGAAAGAAATTTAATTCGCAAAAATTAAACTTCCTCAAAGGTGATAAAAAAATCACATTCCACAAAACAACCTTACATATATACTCAACCTACAAAAGGACAATTCAAGAGTATTAAGTTTTAATAGCATGTGAGAAAATATGATAAAAAATCTTCCTAAAATAGAAATTTAATGAAGTTCAAATAACCTCGTTGTCCAATCATAAGAGATTTAAAAAAACTAATTACTTAAAATAAACTTCTTCCATAAGCTCTTATATAACATTAGTCTTTGGACTAACAACATGGAATTTCTAGTCCAAATACACTAATAATTAGTCCAACTATTGACATGTGAATATTTAACTTGTTAGGCCACATATAATGCTTAATATACTATAACACCTATGACAATTACAATGGCTATTCAACTATGTGTTGACTAACATTCACCATATACATCAATTGTCAACTGTTCACATAATGTTTAGTAGGAATTAATTATGTATGCAAATACTCTTCTAACATAATCAAAAAGATTGACATGCATTATTGTAAGACTTTGAAATAGAATATCCCTCCTTTCTCAAGAAAAGAACAAGTGGAGTGGAACAAGTAGAATGACTCATCTGCACACTTGCGTAGCATGTGCAAGTCAAAAAAGAATCAGAATATGTACTGAAAGAGTACCATATAGAATTGGAAACAATGGCAAATCCACTAGGCAGCCCCCTCTGCCCAACCGCGACAGTAATGTCGACATTACTATGGCTGTGGCGGGATTTAACATTTGGGTGTCGAAACGAACGAATGGATCGGAGTTATCGGGGAAAATGTCGAAAGCCAGCTGATTTCGCCGCCGCACTGTAGGACGCGAACGATCCTACTAAAAGCCAGGCGATCTCTGTCGCGACTGTTCGGATCTCTTCGCAGCTAGTTCAAAATTGGGTTTAGAGCGTAAACTGTCGCGGTTCGCCGCGGCGACTCGAAAATGCATTCGCGATGATTGACTGGTACAGCCACAGCTGTAGCACTGCCTTCGCCGCAATCAGATTCTCGGGATCCATCATATCCCGGCCGGCGTCCTCGAGCTGTGTGCTTAAGCCTTTCTCATCTTGTACTTCTTTCTCGCAAGCAGGATTGACTCAGAAGCTTGTCGTAGATTGTGTGGTTAATGAGACTTGTTGTTTTCGGGGATCGGCATTCCTTTATTATATTGGCGTATTGAAACAAGAAGACAGAACATAATGAGTCACACAATATTACATTTTAGTAAATGCCGTATAGATGGTAATTGACTGAGGCCAACAATTCAAGCTCATTGATTTGGAGGATCAATGGGCAAAAGAATTTGGAGTTCCTAAGGTTGGAATAGATTCAAGTTTGATACTATCACTTGGTTCACAGATGTAGCCGATCTAAAAAGCAAACCAATCGGACACAGAACTCTAATATTCGCAATCTTGTTCTGCAATGATGTCCTCGCCAGTGGGGAGGGTTAGTATCAAACAAGATAAAATCCACTGTCACTGAGGTGATATTCGACAAATATATTAGAATATTAACACATTTAAGACCTTTACAACCTGGAAAACTAGCTACAAGATTCAATGTGCACATCCCATAAAATGTCAGAACTAAAATCTTTAGGAATGAGAGTTCTTGAAACCCTCGAATTTTTAACTGTGTGTGCCGGTCCTCTAAAGGGCCACAGCAACTGGAGTGACCGCTCGTTCGTCGATCATGACCCCAAACATGTTTTCGCAGTCGACTCGGTTCATGGGGGGTAAAGAGAACATGCTCCGTGTCGAACTCAACCGTATCTCTTTCATGGTTCTCAATGCCACCACTGTGCTCCTGTAGATCGTCTCCTCAGCTTCTCCAGGGGTGAAAGGGAGGCCTTGGCCATTATTCATATTTGCAGAAAAGGATTGTGCGGAAGTGTCCTGCTGCAGTTGACGACAAACGGACTCCAATGGCGAAACTGGGAAAAGTGAGTGCAAGTTGTCCTCACACTCTCGCACCAGCTTCGAGAGCAGTTCTGTCGTGAAGAACGGCTGAAGCAACACACCCTGAATGAAAGGCAATCTGAGAACAGTGCCCGTCACTTTATCGTGCTTTTTCAAAATCTTCACAAGTCCTGCAGGACATGGAAGCTCCATGAAGTGAGTTTTCATACTCATGCAAATATACATATTAGAAACGTATACGGAAACTGCACCACACGTCAGATCACTTGTCTACACCCTCATCTATCCAAAGGAATCTCTGATTTGACGTTTACGGTAGCTAGGATACACTCGTTCGAATCTCTTGTCTTCTGACCTGTGTAGTTCAGCGAGCTGTAGTTTTCCAAGAGGACCATCTCCCCATGGAATGTCACAATATCCCGCAAAATCTTCAGGAGCTCCTCATCTCCACCGCATTCGTTGGCACTTCTGTCATTACCCGCTTGCTCCTTCTTCATTCTCTCAGTTCTGTATTTAATTTCCTGCACATATAGTAGAAAGTGTAAGCAGGTATTCGTGAGGCTAGCAAAGACAAAGTGAACAAACGCATTGCAAATTTGCATCTATGAGTAAAATTGTGCAAAAGTAGCAGGCAAAGTCGGGTGATAAATTTATGAACAAACATCACACTACGACATCAAAGCTAATGCAACACGCCAGGAAGCATATTATCAGATCGGTGAAATAGGCAAACATTACCTGTAGTCGAATGACATACTCCTCTTCCTTTTCTATGAAAAAGACGTTCATTTTGTTCAATTCATTATTGAGTAGACTCACAAAATCCGATTCTGCACCAGACATCACATAGCCTCCATCATCAAGCTTTGCTCGTTTCGATCTCCTTTCGGTATGTACTTCCTCGCAGGTTGTTTCCGCCTCGCCCGTAACTGCAAGAACACCATTCTGCGATACCTGCTCTACACTTGACGCAGCCGATTCCGATGAAACAGCGTCTTCGGAGGATTTTTTCTCCTCCACCAAACCACCTCCAGAAAACCTAACGTCGTCCTCAGGCAGTTTGTAGAGGAATAATTCTTGGACTGAAGCAGGACCACCAGCTACACTTGCTCTGCGCAATTCTTTATCGACCGCATCAACGATTGAAGGCGCATTTTTATCACCGCCTACCAAGGACTGGTTTCCCCTTTGATCAATAGTGGCTTCAGAGAAGCAGGTAGAACCTTGAAGTTTTTTCAAGCTTTTCTTGAGCTTCTTGTACGCAATGAAATGTGGTCTCCACTCGGGCATAGTCTCCTCTATCTGACTCTGTAATCTCTTTCCGAACTTCATCGTACTGGTAGGAGCCCTTTCAATTTGTGATCGCAAAGTACTTCCCCGATGTCGTGTTTCACTGATTGATATTTATCGCACTTTCTAGCAGAAACAACACAGTATCGCTGTGGAGGAGATAACTGAGAGGAGATAGAGCGAGAGAGAGACCGCGAGTCTAAGCCGGACAGAAGATTGATAATTCAATCAGGGCGTTAGCGAAATACTCTAGTAATTTCCAATGCACATGCTAAGAATGGGATTTCACTTGCATTCTCAATGTACACTGCGTTCTTCCGTTGAACTCGAAGCTTGTTGTTGAGCCCAACATACTTGAACATCTGTTGCAATAGAAGCCGAGGATGGCTGTTGTTCACGAAGAGCGCAGAGCAGTACTAATCCAGATTGCACTCAATCTCTCTCCCCTCCTTACCAACAGAACCAATCTCCAAACCCTTCCTTACCAATCAAACCTGCTCTATCACCACAACATACTTGTAACCTTAGTCCACACTAACCAAAGCTACAACGTCACAACCCTACAACCCCTTCACGACTCCTGAGGATATTGCTACAAAACGGCTACCAAATTTATCACCCTCGTGATGCGCTTCCCCAACCACTTCGCAATCCAACCGAATTTCAGCTCTCCTCCCAATCAACGCTATTCGTGTAACGGCCACAAAGTGATTAAAAATCGAGTCACAAAGACACCGCTCCTCACTCAAAAATCTGACTCCACTCACTCTGAACGCAGTTTCAAGCCCCTCCCCTCAATGAAGACAAACAGCGACAGAGATCCCCAGCCGGTACGCAACGCAAGCAATTGCAGCTCCGTTTCAGCACCTTCGACTCAAGATCAACGCTGCGAAACGATCCAGCAATCCAACCACGGCGCACAACCAGAGAGACCGTTCGCGAAGAACTGCAAATCAACGAGCCTCGATAAAAAATAAATAAATAAACAAAAAAAATAGACCAATGCGGAGTCTCTTTTAGCTAGCAATGGAAAATGACAAGACGCATGGCGCCACAAAATGTTCATTCATATTTACCCTTCGCCTCCCCACCTCCTCCTCCTTCTCCTCTCCCTCCTCCCTTCCGTCCAGCCTTCCTTCGTAAAAGGGACCAATTATAAAAAGGAAAACCAGTGTCTGCAATTACGAATATGCAAGGATATGCTAAGGATGTACCCGAAATGAACCTCCACAACAAAAAAACAACTCCATGAGTAGTGATGTAGATCTGTTTGTTAAAGAGGTTCGGTGACGATGTGATCGGCATCGTCGTCGATCCTCCATGTAATATGCTTCCGCGAAGTCCTTTCTACGCTTACGTTCGGGGTAGTTAGTTGTGGTTGGAATCTTCCAGCATCATTCTTCCAACCATAAGTCGAGCTGCGTCGAAGAACTATTGCGAAAAACGATCATCCAAACTACACGGAGAGTGACGACTTCTAAAAATAAAATAAAATAACAACTTTTTCAAGGACTCGATTACTTTAAAGTCAGGATGGAGCTGCATTTTCTTTGTGAGAAGAAAGTGAAAGGAAAAGGAAAAAGGGACGGGTGGAATGAGGCGGGCCCGGGGAAGACCCAGAGACAGCATCCAAGCGGAGCATAAATGGATGTGCTGCGGCAGAGTTTGACTATTGGGCGTGATCATGTTCTCATGGAGCACGGGTAAAAGGCGCCCATCCGGTTGGTGGCGACCCCGCCTTCCCATTAAAGTAATGCCCCGCTCAGGGGAATAATACCCCGGTATATACCTTCTACACCCTTCCTTTCTTCCACATGTCCTTTTAGAAGAAAAAAAACGTTACTTACTACTGTACTCACGGATCTCATCAGCGTTCTTCATCTGCTGCGCCTTTATGAATGAAAAATGTCACTGTTAATGTATCCCACATATTCATCCATTAATTCATTTATTCATTACATTTTCATATTTTTCATCCTTCGTTATAAAGTTACAATGTGAACAGGAGCGGCGATCACTTTTGCATGGGTTTTCATCACTTTGGTATACTTGTTTTCATCGATCATTAATTCATCCATGAAATCTCACAAGGGTTAATAATAATCAAATGGTCCCATTGTTATTTTGTTCTGTGCTTGCTTTGGGAGTTGTATATGAATAGAAGACGACATGAAGAACATTCGAGATGCTTCATGAAGGATGGTGATGCAGCAGGTTATTCTCCCCTATATTAAAAATATAATTTAGTCCTACGTGGCCACCTTTAGTCCTGAAAGAGGATCCGGGAACAATGCTCTTTTTGGTTCCCTTTGGATATCCCCCTTAAGTTCCCCTGGGACCACCAACACACACTCATATTCATCTTCACTTTATTTCTATATTCGTTACCCCTTTCTCATTTATAGTTGGTTTTCTTTCATTGGGATTAAATGGAAGTTGGGTGGGATGTGTATTAATATCAAGTTCAGTTGTTTCCAATGTATGTTTCGTTCAATTAGTGGTAAATTGATAAATCTTCATAGCAAATTATCTTGAGTTGGTTTTTTTCCTTTACCATTTGAAAGTGTAAACACAAAACTAAATCAGGAGAGTAATATTAAGTCTTTATACGTGGGAGAATAATAAAGAGACCCAAATATTTACTAAAGCAATCCATTATATCTTAACCATCATTACATCCTTGTAGCCCCCATCCATGTATCCAACCCATCAATCATTCCCAACCACTGCTAAGGACATGGATGAGGGACTAGAAATGGGGCGATAGTTGGAAACATAGGAATGGCCAAGAATATAGATGGGATTGAAAAGATATAATGATGGTTTAAACATGTAGTTTGATTTAGTAAAAATTGAGGTTACTTTATCATATATATATATATATATATATATATAGAAAAATAATAAAATAATCCAAATATTTACTAAAGCAATCCATCCACCATCACAAATTTGCACATGGATAGTACAAATCTTCTTCATCATTAAGACCATAATTTTTATTCAAATAAACATAATCATCATTCTACATATAATTTCTATAGTTCTTAACAATTCTCAAAGATTAGTAATAGTGTCTCTTTATTGCTCTTCTCTTACTTGCCTTATAATTATATATGTATTAAATTTACTTCTTCATTTTATTCCAATATATATTATTTTCTAGATTGTATATAATAGATAAAAAAGAGCAAATTGTATATATTCTATAATTTCATTGTACTTTATAATAGAAAATAAGAGATACATGTATGTACCACCAAAAGAATATTTTAAGTTTATAGAATAAATGAAACGTAGTATTAATGCATTTAGATACAATCAAGGCTATGTTGTATGTAAATGATGCTTTAACAAAGATCGCATTCATTACAAGTGTGACAAACAAAAGGTTTACTATGATCAAAATTAGCATACTAACAAATAAAATAATACAAGTTATCTGACAAGATGTCTATTTGCATTGCATGCTTGTTGTTTGTATAATAGTACTCAATGGCATTTGATTGTTTGAAATGCTCTTTATAACCATAGAACAAATTTTTTTTCTTTTAGGCCATCTATTTGCTTGCCGTTTGTAACTGACTGTTGTTCTCATTGTATTCAAGCTTCAGTATACTAAAGCAATTGAATTAATAGAGGAAGATTCAAACACGAGGAAAGACTGGTTATATGAATTGGATCTGTTAGTATCACAATTGATTGTACTGTGGCTATCTGAAATCAATTATCAAACTACAAAACATCCATGCTTACTACTTCTGTCTTGATTCAACACATAATCTATTCTACAACTATCAATTCAACAATACTTCTCTCAATCAGAATTCTTTGTAAGCAAATAATAAAAGCATAGAAAATTAAGAGGTACCACTAAGCTTACCCCAGCTTACGACTCTTACAGTTTGGCTCTCGATTTATGACTTTCATAGTCTAGGTCCAATTTTTCTTTTGTCAACCTATATATCTTACCAAAAAGATGATCCGTCGACTAGCGGATTCCAAAGGTTATGATCCTATGAATTCTTAACCATTTTTTCTACTAATATCTTACTGTTATCAACTAAACTGCCTAACTATAAGTCTAATTCTCAAGGTTGTCAATAACCAACCAGTAACTTATCACAAAATTTATTTACCTATTCTACATAGCTCCACTTTTAATTGTGTAGCATCCTCACAAATATTATTTAGCACAACTTATAAAGATGTAGCAGCATTGGCTTCTTCAATCAATGGCGTTGGCTTATCACCCTTTGAATTGGTGACCTTCTCTTCTTTACATCTTTGTCATCTGCCTTAGTGTTCGAGGATTCTTCATCCAAACGTGCCATCAGATCTTCATTCAACAAACCCAATTCCCGTACCTGAGACTTACATCATGCAATTTGGTTATCACGCTCCTCCAACAACTTCTGCCATTCTTCTGTCGGTTTCAAAGGTATCTCCAAAGGTGTTGTTGCAAAAACTGGTGTATTGGTCTGCACTAAATTATTGGCCTCCTTTGCTAATGCGGCTAGTTTAGTCTGCAACATCGCAACCTCTACTTGCAGCCGTTCTTGCCGTTCCTTCCAATCGGTCTTTAACCTTCCTTTCTTAGACACCATGTTTGCCATCTTCTCCTTAACCACAAAAAAAAACATGATGCTTGTTAAGAGCCCCCCTTGCTACTTCTTACTATGGTCTAATCAATTAGATCGATTCCCTCTTTTGTCACAGAAAATTCGTCCTGGGTTTATGTATAGTAAAGTTTAAGCCGATTGCCATTGATGAGTGTCATAAATTTAGTACCCATAAAATCTTTCAATTATACTGAACTATTTGGAAATTCATCAATAATTCAATATGGCCCATGCCATCGAACTTGAAATTTTCTTGAAATTTTTTTAAATTGACTATCATAAAGAAGTACCAAATCATTTGGCATAAAAGCCTTTGGACTAAGCTTACTATCATAATAAGTCTTCCTTCGTTTTTGTGTAGTTTCCATGATCATTAATGCATTGGCTCTAGTTTCATCCAATTTTTTCAATTCTTCTAAACGGTACCGTAATAAATCCTGATCTTCCAATCTATTATTTATAGCAATTCATAAACTTTGGACTTCTAATTCAATAGGTAATATTGCTTTCTAGCCATAAACCAATTGAAAAGAGCTAGCATTGATAGTAACTTTATATGCAGTACAATATGCCTATAAAGCTGCAAACAACTTAGTGTCCCAATCTATTCCTTCTCTTGAAACTGTTTTTGTTAAGATTTTACATGAAATGCCATTAGTCTTTTCCGTTTATCCATTGACTCTTGGGTGATACGGTGTAGTCTTTTGATGTTTTATCTTGTATTTAGGCGTGAGTGCTTTGATTGTACTATATATAAAATGAGTTCCTCAATCACTAACCAATTCTCATGGACAACCAAACTGTGTAATAATATTTTCATACAAAAAGGTTGCTACTGTACTTGCACTATTAATTTTCGTAGCTACTCCTTTAGCCCATTTTGTTACGTAATCCATTGCTACCAATATATACCGTTTTTATCCATTTCTCGAGGCTGGTGCAATTGGTCCCACAAAATCAATTTTCCATTTTTCAAAAGGCGCTTGAACCAAAATTGGTACCAATGGCATTGCTGAAGTTCTAATAGGTCGACCCGTTCTCTAACATGGATCACAATGACGGACAAATTGGTGGGCATCTGCAAACATTGTTAGCTACCAATAACCAGCTTGTAAAGCTTTACGAGCCGTACTGTCCTCTGCAAAATGTCCACCACAACTGTTCAAGTAGTAACCTTCCAATATAGTATGTACTTCAGTCTGATAAATACAGCGTTGCAAAACTCCATCTTTGCCTTGTTTATATAAAGCTTCACCAATCATCGTATAAGGTGCACATTTTAATATTAAGCGTCATTTAAGCTTTTCATTAAAATTGGATGGAAAGGTTTGAAATGTCAAGTATTGAATTATTTTACTATACTTTGGAGTAATTACATCTACTGCAAACAGTTTCGCATTGGATAGTGCATCGTTAATGGGTTCATTACTCAATATATTAGATAATCGAGATAAATGGTCTGCATTGGAATGTGATTTTCTTGGTCTTACTTGAATAGTAAAGTCAAATTCTTGTAAGAGTAAAATCCATCATGTAATACGACCACTCAATTGAGGCTTATTAATCATATATTTTAAAGCATCATGGTCGACATGGAAAAAAAATTTATAACCAAGAAGGTAATGTCAAAATTTTTGTATGAAATAAATCATCCCCAATGCTTCTCTTTTGGTTGTTGTATAATTTCTTTTAGTTGCTACCAATTGACAACTTGCATAATAAATAGGGTGATCAAAATCCTAGTCATCTTTTTGACTTAGCACAGAACCAA